ACAGCTGCAAGGTCCTAAATCCATTTACTGATAGATAAAAGGTGAGCATTTATGCTTCTACAGTGACAGTACCGGCATTGACAATTCGTCTGTGTTGACTACTGGTCTCGAAGAACCAGGTAGATAATTTAACAAATGTGTTCATCTGTAGAATTCAAAGATTATTCTAGTACAAGATTAACATAAAAGAATAACCTCCTCTCAGAGACTGGACATAACCAGATTATATGTATACGAGATGCGCAAGATACATTGCATTACTAGCAATTAACAGATTCAACTTATGTTTTTACTGAAAAACCTTTGGGGTGTCCAGTGTACAGTAATGGTGTGTACACCATAACTTCCAGCCAATACCAGCCCAAAGCATAATTCTCTGCCGAATAAGCAGCAACTTTAGAGCCACAGATAACAATGGCTATCTTGGTACAGAAGCCAGAGCCATAATCATTGATTAGACAAAGTAGCACAGTGTACTTTTTGTTCCATACTTTTTTCCAACTTTGTATGTCATATTTATTAAATTAATTAAGATAAATTAAATATTTATAAACAAACTCCATAGGTTTCTTTTCTTCTACTGAGTCAATAAGCACATCCCTTTTAAAGAAAAAAATATATATGTTTTATAGATGGTATATAACTCTCACAAAATTAGCCAAAATAGATGTTGAAATTTCAAATCTCTGTTGGAGATGTAAACAAAAAGAACGTTCTTTTTATCACATGTGGTGGTCATGTGGGAAAGCCCAAAAATATTGGGAAAGGGTTGAAATGCTTTTGCATGAGGTTTTAGAGATTCCAGTAACTGTAACCCCTGAAATTTTTCTTCTAAATATTATCCCAGATTCAATAGACCTAATGGAAAAATATTTAGTTATCCATATCTTGACAGCTGCAAGAATTATTTTTGCTAAACACTGGAAAGACCCAAAGAATCCATTTCAAGATGAGTTAATAGCAAAAATCCTGGATACGGCAGAGATGAATAAACTACCTGTATCAGAATGGCTAGACTCAACAAGAAAGATGAATCATGAAGATTGTTGGCATAAATTTTATGATTGGCTTAGAAACAGAATGTAAATTAATATTTGATCACTGAAAGCCTACGATCAATTTAAAATTAGAATATGTATTATAAATTAGTTACACCAGAAACTTACGTATCTTTGAAATTTAATAAATAAGAATGAATATTGTAAAATGTTCATGTTGATTTACAACCCCTGTTTAATCCCATGTCCTCTGTCCCCATCCCTAACCCTAACCCTATAAAATAAAACTAAAAAAAGAATCACATCCCTAAAGCAAGGGAGAGACAGAGGCACTGAAGAGTTGTAGGGCTGTATTTTAGATATCAGAAGCAATGTATCTATAACTACTGCCTTTCAGTAAAAGCTGGCAGATCATAACTGGGAAATGGACAGCATTCATAATCACCAATCAACTTACTCAAAGAGAAAATCCCCATATCAAAATAACTTATCCATACATTAGGCAAAATGAAGCAACAGCTCAGACTTTTTTTTTTAAAAAAAATCCCATTTTCAAATCATACCCTGTAAGCTTGATTTTAACACAAAAGAAAGGACCAAATTGGAATTGTCATCCCCTGCGTGATCCTCAGTAAAACAGTTATTTCTCAACTTGCCTATACCTCCTGCAACTAGGGCTGGTGGCTTTAACTTAACCCTGTCAAGTGATAAAGGTAAAGGTAAAGGTTCCCCTTGACATTTTAGTCAGTCGTGTCCGACTCTAGGGGGCGGTGCTCATCCCCGTTTCCAAGCCGTAGAGCCAGCATTTGTCTGAAGACAGTTTCACATGGCTAACACAGCTATACCGAGGTGGTACCTATTTATCTACTTGTATTTACATGCTTTCGAACTGCTAGGTTGGTGGGAGCTGGGACAAGCGACAGGAGCTCACTCCGTTGCATGGATTCAATCTTATGACTGCTGGTCTTCTGACCCTGCAGCACACAAAGGCTTCTGCGGTTTAACCCACAGCACCACCACGTCCCCTGTCAAGTGATACCTGCAGACAAAGGGGTGCGGTTCTGGACAAGTGTGCTGCCACAGCCCCTGAAAATGAGACCCCATTAATCAGTAGAACCTGATTAACACCCACCACTACCCAACTTAAATGTTTGTGATTAAAACACTGAGAATCACACAGCTAATATGGCCAGCTGCAATCCAAAAAAACTAACTACCTCTTTCCAAGCTACATTTTATCTACCACCAGCTCCATCCACAATCATTCTAAATACCAAGAACCCCATCTACCAATGCAGTCCACAAAGGGTACCAAAGTTCTCAATAAAGTCTTTTGTCCCCAAAATTTTGCCTATCCCTCATCCAGAAGAAGCAAAGGGCAGGGCTAAATGTCAAAACAGTATCAGTTCCATATTGTCTATGGAAAGTGACTGTTTCATAATTGGGACATCAGTTGACACAGCCTCTGTTGAGCCACACAACTGAAATCCCCATTTGTGAAAAGCATACAACTTGAAGGAAGGAATACATAAAAGATGAACACTGTCATCAGCAAAAGCAGGGAGCAGATTGGAAGGATGCTTGTGGTCTTCTAATCAAATAGGTTAATGGGCTATTTTTGCAAGTGCATTAACTATTTGGAGTGGTAACTAAAAGCAATGACAGGGGTAAGAAACATGGCCCTCCAGATGTTGTTGGTCTACATCTTCCATAATGTCTCATGATTGGCTGTGCCAGCTCTAATTGATGGAAATCGTAATTGCCACCACCACCCCTAAAAACAACAACAGTGGATTAAAAAAACAACAACCTACTCGTTCCTGCAAGGGGGGAGGAGTCTGAAAAAGTGTGTATTGCTATCAAAGGTAAACCAACATTTTCCTTGAAGCTTAGTTGCTTTATTATGAGCACTTGTTTTTACAAAATGAAAAAATGAAGATCTGAAAAAGAACTGAGACTATAAAGATCTGAAAAATAAATGACCAGCTATACTAGTCCAAAAAATCATCCACATTTGTACCAAAGATGATATATGTTAAAACTGCTTTCTTTAGCATTTCATGTCTTGTTTAAGAATATCTAAAATGCCTTCTGTACAGGTGATTTTACTTTAGAGTAGCATTTTATAAAACTTAATACAGTTTTGCAGGAAAAAACTTGTTTCTGGAGATTAATTTTTTAAAAAACATGTCTTTGTACATCAGATCTTGATAATCTTTTTTGCCTCACTGTCTGCTTTTTGTGTGTGTCATCATCAGACTAATATTTTCTTTTCCGGATTAGTGATGTACTTAACACAGCAAACTGCCCAGAGCAACATATTATAAGATTTCGAGATTATGTGTTTTGTCTCTGCAATTTGTGCCTGAACTGGACAAGAGGGCAAAGAATCACAAAGATGAAGAAATATTATCCCTCTAGGACAGTGCTTCCCAACCTGGAGGATGTGACACCCTTGTGTTTTCTGGGAGTTGTGGGGTTGCCTTTTATGTGTTGTAGCGCTTGTTAAATAATTCATTCCTTGACCTTTCAGAGCAAGATATTAAAGTATGTGTTATGTATGACAAACAGGCCCATGGGGGTGCGAGGGGAGAGAAGCCTGTACTTTAACCCCATTAAAAATGCTTTTTTATGGAAATGTAGCGGGGTGGATGGGTCACAGGTTACTTGGTCCTTATTAAAGGGGATCACGACTCAGAAAAGGTTGGGAACCACAGCTCTGCGAGGATGTTCATTTGGCACAACTAATTATATAGTCAAAAAATCTAAATTCTTACCCCAACCCCCCCCCAAATAGGCTGAAAGTCCACATTGACTTGTTTGTTCTTGGAACAGGACCCAGATGGGATGAGCTGAATAACTACAGCTAGCAGGTCTTATGAAGAGAGAGACAATGACTTCAAATCCCTGATGGATTTTCTTCCTGTCTTGGTCACAGGTTTTCTGCCTCTTGCAACCTTGACAACATTGCTTGACACATTGTTGCATTGGTGAAACTTTGATTCCCCATCAATATTTTGTATTATAGCTCCCATGATTTCTTATCACAGCTATGGGATAACAGGAACAGTAGGCTAAAAACCTCTGAATGGACCAGGTTTCCTATTCCTACCACTGCTGTATCCCAACACGCAGGAGCCTTTATCAACAGCTATGTCTAATAAGAGGACATCCCAACATATTTTCTGGAATTGATGGTAACAAAAATCAGATCCAAAAAAGTACCTTATTAGGGCCCATTAACACATGAAACTAGCAGTGTGATTACCAACCATGTTATTTTATTAATTTTTTTTAATAAGATGAACAAAGGGGATGAAAGTCGTTAACACCTCTGATGATTAGATCTCAAGTAAAAATTTAACCCATCTCCACCACAGCATTTTGCATGGGTAAAGAGAGACTCCTATTGTTCTTTTTTTTTAATTTACCCTGATACCAAATTGCAGTATGAAAGGTCATTTCTTCTTCTTCTGGAACTGCTGCTGGAGAGGAGAAGGCTAAACTTCCTTTCAAACCTCCTCCTACCAGTCACCCCCATCCTGATCTGGTATTTAATTTTTAACAAACCAACAACATGACTAGCTGTTCACTATTTATGTATTAGCATCATATGCATTTGGAGACTTATGGGAACGGTCAAAATTCCTATACATTTCCAAGATTTGGTGAGAATGCCATGATATGAAAAGAAGCAGATGAAAAGCCTTGATTCCATTTTCTTCTTTCTACAAAGATGATCCAGTGAAAGTTTTATAAATTGGAAGTGGCTGAAATTTCAGTCATCAGTCTGGAAAAGTGCCAGAATAGGCAAGAATTATGCTGCTGTCCTGATACTATAATTGACAGAGCATTTATTCATCTACACTGTAAGTGCTACCCAAAGCATACCAATCTAATGCAAGCTTTGCAGTAAAGACACTTGCTCCTGGTATCTGCCCCAGTTTAATTTATTTTTCACAGTCCAGAACACCAACACTTGAGAGAAACAGACCATCTTACCTTCACAATACTTTTCAAATCTTGGACATATGTCCGTTCAGTCTCCAGAATTTCTTGGACCACTCTGTCAACGTATAGAAGCTTTGGACTTGCAGGCTCAGTAATTAGAGACATGACACAATTTTTGCTGCTTTCCTTTGACTCGGCTTTTCGTGGCATACTCAGCTTTCTTGCATCGGAGGCTTGTTGTTCCTTGACAGGGGTGATTTTTCTGACCTCCCTGTTGAAAAATTGTTGGGCTGGACTCAGCTCTAGTTTTATGGCTCCTGATTCTTTATCCTGGTTGAATAAGCTCAGATGATTGTTTGAAACTAAGGTTGTTCTGCTGCCAAAGGAGCAGTGGCTATCCCTGGACGATGCAGAGGATGATGTAGAGCTGAAGCTAACTGGCCGGTCACTGTCTGACAATTCCATGGTCTTGATTCCACAATAGTGGAAATGTCTGTCTCCTCTGTGTAAGTCTTCCTCCCCTGTTGCCTTGGGGGTGGTGCCCACCATCACAGAAGGCAACACATCAAGAGGCAAATGGTAGCCATCTTCAAGAAAAGAAAAGAAAAAAAGAAACATTGTTTGGCTTGTTATAATCTGTCATTGAGTCAACAATCACACAGAGATCTGTACATGCAAATAGCTTTATACAGGCATTTTAATGAATACATTTAGGAAGGACAGCCTGCTGATGCAACGCTACACATCCCATACCCAATTATCACAAGCATGAAGACCTTACTTACATTGCTTACATTTGTCTTTATCTTAGTGCATATTTCTTTGATACAGATCTAAAAAGCAGACTCTCACACCTCCAAATTTCAGTAACAAACCACTTTCCCAAGACTCTCAGGCCCTACCATCAAGCTTGTATTTGACTAAATAACTATAGCTTCTAGCTAAGAGAAATTTTGATTTGGAGCTAGTCAAAAAGGTTTCAAATATTTGTGCATTCTTAGGACTGCCTTCCAATTTGCCATGGTGCATTTTTTTCTGTTTCTTTCCCACTGTGTATTTTAAAATATATGATACCTAATATAATCAGACAAGTCATCAGCTTTATATTTTATCTCCTTCCTAGACTTATTGTAGGGAACACACCTTTTGTTATACAGTGCAAAACTTCCTGCTGTGCCATTTACTGTGCAGAATTTCTGTTTTCCATTTGCTAAACAATAACTGGACTTATTTACAGCCACATTAGAAGTTCTTCATTTGTTTCCATATCCCAATTTGAGAGCAGTGACAAAAATTACAGGTATCTAAGAAATAGTTGAGATCTACTTCTACTTGTTAACTGATGGAAATCATTACAAAAATTCAGGTAAACAAAGTGTGTCCTGAATGGTCATAGAAGAAGAAGAAAAATGCCCTCAGTTTCTGATAAGAAATGGCTATATATTTTACTGACTTTAAGGCATAATTAAAATAACAACAAATGTTCTGCAGGTTTACACTGGCTTGGAATCTGGGTCAATAAGATAACTGGAAAACCATTCCGCTAATTTATCAAAAGACATATAGCTAAAAAATCTATGACAAAGGATGCCTGATTAGTTCCCTTCCTTGGAGCATAAAGAGTTCCTGTTTCATTCAATCACTTTTTAGCCTGTCTTCCTGTTGCACTGCTAAAATGTTTCACAGATAATCTAGTAAATCATGTTTGCTTTGTCAATAGTGTACAGCTCAATAAAATAAACTTGAAAAAAAGGAGCCAGGGATCGTTGTGATGTTAAGATAACACATTCACAGCTGCAAGAAAAAAATGAAAATCTTCTTAGAAGATTCTACAACTTATTTTCCAACCATGTCATCCCTCTACAAAACAATGACTACACACTACATTAAAATGATTTGCTATCAAGCAGGACCCCAGTAATTTTTTTTAAAAGGCAGAGGTTAAGGATCTTAAGTACCTAAACCTATGCTCTAATATCAGCACAAAATGTGGGATGTGAATATAGGAAGCCTTTTTCTGAAAACTGGAGAGTAACAGGAACTGAATGTGATTGCACTTGCTAACCCTGCTCTGTCTGATCACAGCCTGTGTGCATTCCAGTTATTCCAGAAGGTGGAAATGCCAACTATGCAAAAATTCAGATCAACAAACACACAAAGTTTTGAACAGGTGCCAGCAGTTCCAATGCAGCTCTTCCCCAACTCTGTGCATGAACCTCTTTGTATAATGCTTGAATCAGGGTTTATTCTCTCAGTAATTTTAAAAGTGCAGCTGTAGACTGATGAAAAAAAAGTACTGCCAAATAAAGCATACTTCTTCACATTAGCTGGAAATTTCATAGTAACGCAAGAAAGTTCCTTAGTGGAAACCATTTGTTCATCTAGTGCAGTATTAGCTTAATCTGATGAGCAGCACCTCAGGAAAAATTCCTTCCAATCACATGATTATTTTTTTTAATTTGAAGATGCCAGGGACTGAACCAGGGAGCTTGTGGGTATCCCTGAGCTGTGGCTCTTCATCAGTGATCTATACTTGCTCCTTTTGTCCAGTTTTGGAGGACAAAAATGGACAAAAGGGCCTTGGGCAGCCTAATGAGTCCTGGCACCATGAAAGTAATGACCCTCACATTCCATAGAAGACCTGGTTCTGTCAGACAACAAGATGTCCCGCTGAGCACTGCATTCTTCCAAAATTTCAAGACAATTCTTGTTCACAAAGATGTTTTAGAATAACAAACTGTTACCCACCATGAGCCTTTAGAGACAGCTGAAAATCCAAATAGCCGTTTGCAAGAACAGGGCACTGCATTAGATGATCTACTCAAGGTTTTAGTCCAATCATTTAAAAAGCTATCCTAAGTGCCCAAACTACTTTAAATACACATGTGTGCGCATGCACACACACACACACACACACACTTTATATATTGCTCATCTATCAAATCACTACTTTGGGAGGTATACAACAAAATATATAAACATATATTATGCAATTACTATATATGCTAGACTCTCCCCCAAATAAACAAATATGAGAAAAAAACGTGGCAAAATAACAATTTCAGAACATACACTACAATATTCCTCTCCTCCTCCCTTTGCTGTCCCAGTTACTTGGGGAGAGCCTCCCTAAAAGCTTCCCTGAATAGCTCTGTTTTTAAGAGCTTTTCGAATGTGCAAAGAAAGGGCACCTGCCATAGAAGGCACCACAGCTGAAAAAGCCCAATTGCTAGTTGATGTTTTCTGGGCTTCTCAAGTTGTCAACATTCAAGGTATCAACATCCACTGATTTGTGAAGACCAAGTCAGATAGGCAACTGAACTTGGCAGAAGACAGAAGATAGTTCTTGTAAAGAAAGGACTAAAATGCAGTGTGGATTTACTATCCCACCAGTACGGGCCACCAGCCTGCATTGCTAATTCTTAACCATTGCTTTGAAACCCCTGTGCTGATAATGTCACATGCAGCAATGGCTGGGAACCCCGGCTGCATATCATAAGGCGCCAGCTGTAAGGGAAGCACTTATGCTGATCATCACACCTAATTCTATCTGTACATCATTTTGTTGTGAGACAATGCTTACTCTACTCAATATAATTTCATCTATCATTGTCATTGACAATGTTGGCTTGGTTTCTACAAGCTAAGCACTGGAAAGAAGACTGTTTATTTTTCAGTGTTTAGGAGGAAATGTGTTTCAGCAACATGATCCCTCCTTATTCATATCTTTCCACAAATGTAGTTTGGTTCCCCACCCTGTCTGGCCTACTGCCTTTACATACTGACTGCTGACGCTCCAGCGAGAGGCTTTCTCACACAAAAACACAAATCTGTAGAGACCATTGTGTAACTGAGATATGCACTATTTCCACACCCAGGGATAACAATACTGTTAGAACAGATGTAATTCCACGTCACATACCAAGAACTTTCCAATGTAACTCTTCTTTACTTAAGTAAACATAAATAGCAGATGTCAGTGTAATCTTTATCACATCCATACATCTCCCTTTCATTCCTTATAATTTAAGTATTGCTGATAACTTTAACAGCTGTTTTTGTAACAATCCTTGTAATGCTTCTTATTTCTTGCAAATTCAGAAGAAAATACTGCAACCTGCAACCATGTTCCAGAATGCCATTACAGTGGTGCTTCACTTGACGAGGATACCTCCATTCAAATCACTGTTAAGCGAAATCCTTGTCAAGTGAAATGAAAAAGCCCACTGAAATGCATTGAAAACTGGTTCAATATGTTCCAATGGGCGAAATACCTCAGCATCCAGCAAAGATCCTCCATAGGGTGGCCATTTTTCAGTGCCTGTAATGCAAGGAATCCGTCCTAAAGCACAGCGGGTGGCCATTCTGAAAACCGGCGATCAGCTGTTTTTGATCGTCATTAAGCGAAAAATTGGTTCCCGAAGCAGGGAACAGATCAACATTAAGCGAAAAAAGCCCATTCGTCAAGCGATTTCCTCGTCTAATGAGGTACTTGTCAAGTGAGGCACCACTGTATTTTAGACTTTTATATTCACATCTATTCCCTGTATGAATTCCTACAATTAGATACGCAGCAGAACATGGCCTATTGGAGAGGAGGGAGGGAGGGAGCGCATGCTCATGGGTCGTCTTCTGTCTCTGAAATTAATTTTGAAATTATTATCCATTTAATCAGCATTATATTACCAAAACCTCACATTCATTTGACATGGAACAAGTGTTATCACAATCAGGTTATGATCTCCTCAGGGATAATTCAGTTTAAAAGCTTTTAGGTAACAAAGATTCTGCATCAGTGCAAGCTGGATTTAGAAGGCTTGTTTGAGATGGCTGTAATCAGATTTTATCTGAAAGGCAAAGACAGAATGTTCTACACACCTACAGACTCTAAGATGCTCCAAGCTATACAGTCAAGAAAACCTGACTAAACGGAAACTGTGGCAGAAACTTCCAGGACTGATAAGACACTTTGTTTTGAATATTAACAACATCAGGAAATGCTATGCAAAGGCAACATAGGCAATTCAGCTGATGTGTAGGAAGATTTTTAAAAAAGCAACTCTAAGTTATATCCAAAAGGTATTCAAATAACACAAGTAAAATCTACATTCTTACTGCAGGTAAACATATTATCTAAAGCTCAGTTTACTACAGGCGTATGCAATTACCTATTAAAGAAATGGAAAACCTGAAGCAAGCATTTCATAAGATGCGTTTGTTCCAAACCCCTCCAAAACATGTCTCACTAGGGGGTCTGGGCAAGAATTTCAGCTTATTAACAACTACAGACTTGTCCACCAGTTTGCCTTGGCTTCCTAAGTTGAAATGAGCCACCCTACCATATTACACACAGTCCTCTGTCATATCATGCAGTAAGCTGGAGTCCCTGGGCACTATTGTGAGGAAAAATCCCTCAGCGACAGTACCTCACCACTGTGGAATGTCTCAAGCCGCTTAAGCAGTGAATGAACAAGTCCTTCTCCCCATCCCCCAACCTCAACCCCCCCTCCCCCACCATCAGTGCTTAAGCAGTGAATGAACAAGTCCTTCTCCCCATCCCCCAACCTCAACCCCCCCCTCCCCCACC